CCCTTCTCCGGTGAATTCCACAATCCAGCGCACATAAAACGAAATAAAATCCCATAAGATTTAAACCCCTAGGCTTTTCCCTAGCCGCACTGCTACCACTCAATCACCCCCAACATGCTTCGTGACGTCGAAAACTCAAATATGCTATCTCTTGCCTCGTTGGTTGCACTTCCCCACATGCCCTGTGGCCCACCTACTATAAAATCCTTTACTAATGTGATGATGTTTTCGCCCATTAGCGTCATCATCATTCGACACCCATAACACTTTACTACAATCCATAACACTCAAATTCAACCCCTCTAGCGATTGTTTAAATGTAGCATGATACACCATTTGACTATTTGTAACCCTCATTCGCGCTGTCACCCATACATACTGTCAATTTACATTTCACCTTTCAGAATTTATCTTTGACCCTCGGAAGGATTCTTTAACCCCACTGAATGTAATACTTTTCCCTCTCACAAATACAGTCAATTCCTCAGTGTAAGGAATCAGTGATATTTGATCCCAAGTATCTATTAAAATGTTGTTTGAGACGTGGTCTCCTACATCTCCCTCATCATTCATACTGTAGGGGATTTCCATCAATCCGTGAAGAAAGACTCTCAATCAAGACACATCAGACATTTTAATGTTTCATTAAGTGGAATATACACCTATAACATAACAAACCCATAACCACTTTCCAGTATTCTAATCATTTCAACTTGCTGCCTTGATTTTAGTAAAAATATAAATTGTTGTGTAATCAATCCAGAACCTACAAAAAGTTAGTCCTGTCCCCTAGTCCAAAATAACAGTTTATACCTAAATGTGATTGTTCTCCTCTCCTTGGTGTGGAAACCTGCTGCTTCCTTTCCTCTTCTTCTATCTCTACATTCCCTGTTATTGAGACTAAACCTGTGACCTGAGAATACTGCCCCCCTTCGGTGTATGGTGGTGGTGCCTCCCTTCTGTGTATGGTGGTGGTGCCTCCCTTCTGTGTATGGTGGTGGTGCCTCCCTTCTGTGTATGGTGGTGGTGCCTCCCTTCTGTGTATGGTGGTGGTGTAGTTAAACCAGCCTTTTTTGGTTCACTCCCTCTCTCCATTTTCTCTCTTTCTCTCTCTTCTAATATTCTTCTTATTTTTTGTTCCCTTATCTTAGTCAGTAATGCTGGTTCAACTCACCACAATATCTGTCTCTGAGTCATGTTTTATGGTGTCATGAGGGTCTTCTACTCCAAACTACTAACTTCCTGAGTACACCCAGAAATATCCAGTTTAATCCTGTCCTCATTTCACGTTTAACCATATCCTTGACCTTGACCCTTTTTAAAACTTTGATAAACCTTGTCAAAATCAAAATGCATACTGTATTTATACAAATAAAGAGATCCTACTTACGGTGCCAGATAACTTCTTCTGCTCTCGCTAATGTTGCTAGCTTGTGACACGTACACTGAATGAGGATATACTTCCTCTGAAAATGGGATGGGTTAGAGGCATGTCTTAGAAGTTCAGGTCTACCAGTAACACTAACAATGCTGGAAGTTATTTACTGTACTAAGAGAATTGAGAATGTAGAGAAGTCATACGCCCTTAATCTAAACCAGGAAGGTAGAAACCCAGTATGAGAGAGAAAACAGATGTACAATATGCTGTAGAGTAGCTACTGTACATAAAACAGCAGGCCATAAGGCCCTATTCAGTGAAAAACGATAACCAGAATAAGTCAACAAGTTTCTATGGACAATGAGAAAAGCATGTTTGAAATAATTATACATTCGAGTTTCTTTATTTCACTCAGTAGGCCTGATGTTTGTATTGTTGAGTGAATAACATGAGTCCAAATCTGCATTCCTGCAGGACGGGAAGATTGATGATGATTTTGACTCATCCCAAAAAAACGGATATCTGGGTTTCATTGAGAAGAGGCCAACTGTCTCTAGTCCACTATTCTGCTGATGAATACTCATTTCAGCAACACCTTCATGAAAGGTTATCTAAGGGTTCAGATAGTATTAAGAGTACTCACTCCAGTGCTACCCTGGATCATGCCTGTCCTGCATTGACATCTGCTGGCCTTAGGAGGACGATACTATACTGCCAAGAGAAGAGTCCTACTTTGCTGTACATGGCCTTGAGGTCAGAGACGGAAGAGGAAGCAAGACATCACACTCGCTCCTTTGTTTCTGGTTTACATACAGTCAATGAACAAAGCAGACCAGACCCAGCTGCTAATGCATTGTTGCCTGTGGGAGAGCCACCCCTTAAGCAGCCCGGAACTGTGACAATTATTTTCAATGGTAAACGGCCTGAGTGGGAGATCTTCATTCATCCATCATCTTTGCTTGAGGCCTCTAGGGCCGCGCTCAGGAGAGTGGAATGATCTGAATGTTGTAGATAGACATTTTTTGCATAGAGCTGGCATCATTCCCCATTCTACACTGAACAGAAATATATAAACGCAACATGCAACAATTTCTAAGATTTTATTGAGTTACAGTTCATATAAGGAAATCCGTCAATAGAAATACATTAATTAGGCCCTAATCTATGGATTTCACATGACTGCGCAGGGGCGAATGAGTTTTTCCCCACAAAAGGGCTTTATTACAGACATAAATACTCCTCAGTTTCATCAGCTGTCTGGGTGGCTGGTCTCAGACTATCCCGCAGGTGAAGAAGCCAGATATGGAGGTCCTGGGCTGGCGTGGTTACACATGGTCTGCGGATGTGAGGCCAGTTGGACATTCTGCCAAATTCTCTCAAACAACGTTGGAGACGGCTTATGGTAGAAAAATGTACATTAAATTATCTGGCAACAGCTCTGGTGGGCATTCCTGCGGTCAGCATGCTCCCTCATAACTTGAGACATCTGTGGCATTGTGTTGTGTGACAAAACACATTTAAGTTATTGCCCGACAGGTGCA